GGCAGTAGTTGGATGTCGACTAGTGCGACCGACGATATCACGGAACGATGATCTTCACTTTTGATAGGCAACGATCCTGCCTCTATCGAATTTCGAAACTTTCTGGTAAGCATTTCCTCTTCTTGCTCGAGGCATAACACGATGTTCTGAGCAAACACCAACCTTACAAAGCACTTTCCGAATGAGAAATCCACTACACAACTTTTCTTTTCTACAGTGCTTCAGATGTCCTTTCTCCCTATGCGTCGTCTAAAATGCGCTGAAATACTAGTCATTTGCATATCTCAACTTCTTCCTTTCATGTGATTTTGACGTTGGTCAGATCATTCCTTCCTGGTGTTGCAATTTTAATGGCCAGCAGTGTAGATGTGTTATAGCCATTTCAAACTCATTAAATTTTAAGGAAACGGATTTTAAGGATAATATTTGACTTTTGTCTTGCACACATTTATCTTGAAGCTTGTTTCACAGATCATCTTCCTGTTTGAATTTCTTTTAATGACCTCAGTTTATTGCTGCAGCCCCTGAAGTTTCAATGTGAAATTAGGAGGACAAATGGAGTATTTATGAGTGATTAATTTGTAGGTTTAGCCATTTTTGAAACACATATATCTGCAAGTCCAGAAAGCTATGTTTTGGTCCTTTAATGAAAGGACTGGATCGACGAATCTTTTAAGAGCCTCCAGCTGAGTGGTTTGCTTTATCGTAATACGGGGATTCAATGTTTTGAGATAAGAACACTGTGAATTTCATTCATTTCTTTAAATTCCCAAGAGAGTAATCAATACCGATTTTGAATCCTACATTTTGGACCTGAAATAAGGCGTGTCAGAAATTACTGCGAGCAAGCAATAAAGATTGTTCAGGATTTAAGGTTTATTTAGAAAACGCGAAAGGGATATGGAGGCACATACGCAAGGGTACAAGGCCTCCAATAATGAAGAATGAAGACTCTAAATACAATATTCATTACAAAATTTTACGCCTACATTAAAATTGTATGCTTCGTTATCACGAATGCAAGGGGGGGACCAAACTGAGATGAGCAAAATTAAGATCTCTAACTGAAATGGTTTAACTGCTTTTTTAATTATTAATCATTAATATTACTGCAGGAGGTTTTGTTCTTTTGACTCTGACAAGTATAATCAATTTAAGTAGGAAAATATGAAACAGAAGCTTTTTGAAAAACTAAGTTTTACAACATTACATTTGCTGTTGTAGAGTAATTAGGTTATTTTGAACCAGAAGACATGTAAAATGAGCAATGACCTCTCAGGGACTCAACCTGGACGTCTCGAATTCATGACGAATGTGATACGGTTACACCATGAAGGCATGCTGGAACGAGAGAGAAACTACCTTATATACTCCCCCTTTTAAATGACGATTGGTAATTAAGGAACCTAATAGCCAAATCCTGGTTGTGAAGAACCATCATCGTTCGGGTTTCACTGTAGTGACATTAGGTTATTTTGATGCTGGAAACGTAAAAAATGAGCAATTCCCTCTCCGAGACTCGAACCTGGACCTCTCGAATGCACTCCAAGTGTGCTACCGTTACACCACGGAGGAATGCAGAAAGGAGGGAGAAAATACCTTATACTTTAACTCAGGGGCTCTTAACCGGTGGTACGAGTACCACTAGTGGTACGGAAGAGAAAAATAGGTGGTATGCAAAGAAGTAAAAATATTTTTAACTATTAAATTCAAAAATTAAAACCCCAACATCTTGATTGAGGATTTTTTCTCCAATACTCGTAAATTTACACGATCTGAGCTTTATTCAAGAGTGGTGGTGGTGGTAGTACTGTGTAGTGGTGGTACTAAAGGTTTTCAATTTTTTTAGATGGTACGCGTTAATCAAAAGGTTGAAAACCTCTGCTCTAACTGATGTATATTATTCATGCAATCACAACTAAAACTTTCAGCGTATTGACCTAAAACTAAATGTGAATAAAAAGGGAGTATATTTTACTTGCGTTACTTTCTTTACCACAAAAAATACTTATGGAAGCTTCAACATATAAACCGCTAGAAAGATTCCATAACTTCAGCAGTATTCAAAAAGCCTTTCGATGTGTAGAATATTTTGAACTTGTTAAGTTCGACATTTTGAGATATGTTAGATTAAATTTTATAAATTTCGTTGAACGTGATGCAAGCATTTAAAGCTTATATTTGTCTCAAATATTGTAGATGATTTTTCAAATATAAGTAATATAAACATGACGTAAGCGTTTAAAGCTGTATTTGTTTGCCTCAGTTATTGCAGATGTCTGTTCAAATTTAAGTTTGATTTCAAGCAGGTTATCAAAAAAATATATTAAACAACACTGTAAATATCCAGGCAATATATAGTTTTTCTCTGATGGTTTTCCACATTGGAACCTCTTAGTGAAAATGCTTTAATTTCGATATTAAATGCTTTAAAATAATTTTCAAAGACTGTGAAACGATCATTAATCTAATTTTTTCTGTAAGTAAATATGGGAAGAAATGTTGGAATTCCTTCATGGTTTTTCACATCATTTATCAAAAGTAATAAAACTCTTCTGTAACTCTGTTTAAACAAATGATTCTCACAGATTTTAGCAATTTTCAGTCATTTTTTTAAATTGTATTTCAGAAAGAAATACAGCTTTATATGTGCTTGAACAAAGAAGTTTATTTACATGATTAAAAAAATGTCGCAGTTATTACATTTAGTAAGTCTGGTAATTAGTAAAATTAGTAACTTACTTCAATGAGAGTTCTTATAGACTTTGGGAGAGCAAACAATTAGATAAAATTTACCTTACTGTCCCCATCTTATGCAACAAATACTTCTCCAAATGCCTACTAAAATTTACATTTATACAAAAATTGCATGTACATGGAATTTATAGTACTTACCTTGGGAATACGGTTACACTTTATGGCGGAATTATCTTAAGTTACTAAGAAAATAAAACTTCCGTATATTTTCTTATGTGGAATAAATATCTGTAGCTTAAAATAACAGGATATATAAATCACTTCAAGAAAATAAGTTTTTAATATTCAACCAAGAAAAATATGGCCTTTAATTTTCTTCACAGTATGTTTTTGGATATAACAGCGATGAAAATATAGCTTCTATATGCTTTCAATTCGTCTAAAAAAGGTACTTATTTATTCTACATTTGTCACAGAAGTGCATTTGAATTTTCTGACATACTAATAGGAAGGAACTAAGTTTAAGAAGCATATAAGGTCTCTTTATTAATAAGAATTGAAGAAATTCATGTTTCAGTTAAGCTGATTCTCCTTTACTTAATAAAACGTGAAAATATGGCAGCTGCTCAAAGATTTTCATTTATTAGTGGATAGTAAATAGAGAGTAATGGTAAGTAAATAGAGAAAGAAAATTCACTTAACTAATTTATTCATTAAATTCATTACTTTCTAATTTCCAACAGAAAGCTTTGCCCGCACATTATTTATACGCTAGTGCATGTTTAAAGAATTACACAGAAACATCAGTTGTTAGAAATTTATGATGCATACTTCCAATATTCTTGGATCATTCACCGGATACCTGACCAAAATAAGCTCAATGTATATTCCGATTTTATCTCAGCACAAAACCATAAATTCATTGCAGTGCTTTTTCCTGTAGTAAGAGAAATACATAATAGTGTATTAATGACTACGAGAAAGTAGTATACGAGAGACTTATTTGATAAAAAAATATGCTTTCATGTAGATACGTATGAAAATGGAAATTTATTTCAACAGGTTGGTAAATTAGTATAATCTACAGCTAGTATCCCCTTATTATTTACATTTCAATAATTTAGCACAATAAAATACAATAATCATGCCGAATTTTATTCGTATCCTAAGACTATAATAATCTGCTTCTGTGTATAACCGTGACTTTCAATTTAGGTTGCGTGAATCTTTAGTAGCTCAAAAAGCTGCCTAACATTGCAATGAATATCGGTTTAAGAATAAATTACATATAACTAATCCTCTTCTGAGATTCAATTCCTTTCAAAACAACCTGATTTTGGGTGATTTACCTTAAAGTAATCAAAACGCGCGTCAGTTAAAGTACTCAACGGAGGCAGCAACTCTTCTTCTTCGGCATAATACAGACTCTCAATGGCATTTGTCACAATCTATTATTTAACCTTTTAATTTAAAGCTAATGATTTCTATATGAATATTTGTTCAAAATTTAAAAATAAGGAAATTTAAAAGAATAGAGTATGTAAATGCTTCTCTTAGTTAATTCAAATATTCTTTTGTAACTTTACTGCTGAATCGTCTTGGACAGTGAGTAAAAATATAATTTAAATATAAAAAACTTGTAACAAAACTTTTATTCAAATTATTTTTTAAAGTTCTGATTAGCATACCGTTAGAATAAATTCATTTTTAAACTTGAAAATATAAGCTTATGTACACTAAAAATGGATGTTATAGGAATTAACTACGTAAAGGATATTTCCATTTATTTTGAGATTGTTGATTATGTACAAAGAAACATCGCATTATCGGAAAATATTTTTCCGAACTCCTGAAAAATCTGTCTTTGACAAATGAGGCCCAATTCGATTTTAAAGAATTGAAGCGATTAATTAAATTAAAAATGTGTTATAGAAACACATGGACATAAAAAAAATTCAAAACATGGTTTAATTTCTAGTAGTCAAGTACTGAAATTTAAACTAACGAATTCAATCAATGCTAAATTTCTAGGTTTCTCTTACTAGATTACATTGTTTTGAAGAAGTTTAGGTTCGAACTACTGCATAATCTACTTTTAAGTATATGAGATTTACTGTGACATATATTTAAACTCATTGCTGTTCCTTATCAAAGGAAACTATTGACTTAGCTTCAGCTAGGAAAAATTAGCATAATACTAAATCGAATGACAATTTATAAGTGTTACGTAAAATTCGGGTGTAGAAGAAGAGTAATAACTTAAGTATATTAGTTACCAGTAGAGCTTTTAAAAGGAAATGTACCTGATAAAATCCAGAAGCTTTCGAACTTGTCCACACATGGTCTTCTGCTGTATTTCCGGTCTAGATCCTCCAGAATCAGCTACGGCCACTTCACGTCTCCGGCCACTCAAAGGAGAAGCGCCGAAACGGGAGTTCAGCATCTAGGGAAGAATGCGATAGGTCTTCAAAAGTTATGTGTCATTTGCGATCCTGTCCATTCAAGATGTGTTTCTTAAACGAATTTTTTAAATCGTGGATTTCTGATCGATGTGATTTATAACCGCTAAAATAAATATAAATAATTATTTTAAAGTAATAAAAAAACTAGTGTTGATTAAGAAGTCACATCTCAAGTACCTGATGAATGAATTTGAGTACAAATAATATTTTTAAAGCAAATGTTATATTACTACCTCATTGATAATTTTTGGTCTTAAATGAACAGCAGCATTATTTTCTCAGGTCAATAATAGCATATCATTTTAACAATGAAACAGAATTCCATTTGTTAGAGGACAAATTATAACATGCTTTAATCTGTTTCAATGATGCTTGAATATTCTGGAATTTCAATTCAGACATTCCATTTATATGTATCATTTCCCACCTATAGATTAAGGATTTATACGCCTCAATACACCACTGTTTCTATACAGAGTTCAATAAAAATGATTACGTAAAAATGTAGGGGTGGTACCTGATACTTCATTTATTATTAGTAAGAAGAAACGTCTATCAAATAAGCAGTCAATAATAACGTTTCCGATCAAAATCCTAGAGGCGATGGCTTCAAATTTAAGCAGAATATATTTTGATGCCCTAAGAAATTAAAGAAAGGGTTCTGAAGTCATAAAAAACTCCAGTAATATATGTCTCCTCTGTCATGAATTTGTTATGGAGAATAGATATTAATATAAGATTTTTTAAGCAAAAAAAATTATTTTAGAACCATTCTCTCTGAAATTAAGAATTTAGTAAAAAATGTGACTTTTATGGCCTACTTATAATTAATGTTCAGCTAAACGTTCGTTCACTTCACAAATATTCACTCAGACCTGATGGTTATGCAAACATAAAACAGAGGCATGGAACCTAATGCAAATGAGAGTATAATTGTAACTGGGCGCTTTGAACAGCTTTTTTGTGGATGGTAAGTGCTTAAACGCATAAAAAGCTAGCTGATGTTTTTGGAAAGAAAGTAAATGTGGTCTCAGAAACTCGTATCGGGACCCATGCTATCCTAGATGATAAGTGAACTCCTGTTAAAATTTCATTAGACGAGAATAAATCCAGGTATCTTGTTTCCAGACTAATGCCTTTTGACATTCCCACATCTCGTACGGCAGGTTGCTTGATTTTATAAGTTTAATGTTGAAAAGTATTGATTTTTTAATTTATTTAAATCACAAATGATAATCCAGCATATATATGTTGATTATTAATTAGTGATTTTTATACTTAGTGATTTGTATAATTAGTGATTAGGAAATTACACCCAAAACAATTTAGTAGGTAAAATTTATAACTGATAAAAAAACGATGTTTTAAATTCTGAAATGAAATCGAGTTTAGAGAGATACTTTTTGTGATAATAAGCAATAAAATTAAAAATTTAAAAACATTGCTTAGAAAATTAACTCTAACTTTCGTGGTTTTCTTATTAGAAGTATGAATAGTAGCTAGTTTTCCTTACGAAGGATTACTTACTTTGCCACATGGTAAATTATGTTCCTCTTTATTAATTGGATACCTTTATTTTTCCATGCAGACCTTACTCTAATACGAATGAAATATTTTTGTCAATTAATGGTAATCAACAACTACGAACAACTTATATAAAACCCATTAAAGTGATTAAGGAAAGCGCTTGTTTATTGGTTTGTCTTGAGGATAAAATAGGTCAAATCGACATTGTGATAAATATTTCTAGTTAATAATATTTAACCTATAAAAGGTAATGCCACATATATACAAAGAAAAACAAAAACTCATTAATATAATATTTTGTCTATATTTGTCTAGATTATTTTTACTTAAAGAAAAACATGACTGTAGAAATAATAGTAGGCATCTACTTTGCATAATATAATATGGACTATAAAAATGCATTTTGTGTATATATTACCGTGAAAGGCCGAGTTTGGAAAATGTCAACTTTCACCGGAGAATGTCAAACATTCACCAAATACGTCGGTGAAAGATCGAATATTGCATTACATTCTTGTACATTCGGACCCTCACCGGTGTATGTCGACAATCACAGATATGCTCTGGTGTAGGTCGAAAAGAGAGGAGTATATGTACACGCTCTCATTGCAAAAGGAAGTGTTCCACAAATAAATGCAGTTGTAAAAGCAAGGCCCTCTTGTGCAATTGAAAGTGTCCTAATAGTTTAAGTTGTTGCAATAAATAAGATTTGAATCACGTAATTTAGTAAGTTTTTAACTTCTATTATTTTCCTTTCTCATTTTGAATGTACAGTGTGTTTTAAGTTCTTATATTCTTAAGTTCTTATTTTAAGTCTCAAGTGCGTTTTTCCGCGACTGAATTACAGAGAAGAAAATATAATATTCTTATATGTTCAACATTCACCATTAGTACATGGTGAATGTCGACATTTACCGGTGTAAGTCAGAAATAAGAGTATTCTGAAAATATTTCGGACATATACCAAGCGACTATATGAATGTTGACATTCACTGGTGAAAGTCGACATTCTCCAGATTTCAGTGTTTCACCGTAATATATACAAGACAACTAAATCTTTTATAATTCAGAAGTCTTCTTTTACAAATATCTAAAAAAAATATTGTAACAAAATAATTGTTCTCGTACTTTCATGCTTATTTTTTTAAAACAGAAAATTAAAGTACCTAGAAATGCGTGGTCTTCGTATAGTAATTGAGGAATTTCATCCGACATAATTATTCTTGTAATTCTCTTGTCAGCTGCGAAATCCAAGATCAAAATCTGATATCATATAATTCTCGCTTAAGCTGAATTTTCAATCCATTATAGGCTTTAATTAAGAAAGAAATATAAGCCGGATAACAAGGAAATATGAGACGTATTGAAGAGCAGGAGTTTAAACAAATCAAAAGGGTTTCTTAATTTAGAAGTCTCAGATTTTTTAATAGTCAGTAGAGTAGTCCACTGGTTTCAGGAGATCGATGAAATATCAAAAGTAAAATAAGAATTTTCTTTAATGTGCTATAACTACAGGATGGAACACGAAAACCTTATAGTTTTTAAAATTAAATAACGCAATAAAATTAAAGGAAATATTTTTATTAATTTTATACCTTTACAGGTTAAAGTACACCATTATTGGAGAAAAATTAAAAATAAAATTTACGCTAATATTAGGTTTTGAAAATGAATATCTTTCAAATATCGTTCTCCTCAGTCCACATACTGCTAATTATTTATTAGCGAAGCTTCGCACAACGTTTCGAAATAGTACTGTCGGTATAGTGGCTGCCTCACATTAGAAGACGGCCTTTAGTTCAGTTAGTTCAGGTAAGGAACATATCCGATGTACACACTCGATTTTTAAGTAACTTCATATGAAGGAGTCACAGTCCGGAAGATCAAGTGACAAGGGTGGCCACACAGAATCACCCCGTCTGAAAATTAAAAAATATTCTGGGAACATCCTCCCCAGTATTTCTATCGGATTTCTAGCTGTGTAGGTAATTGCCTTCTCACATTTAATTTATGGGCCTTCTACGAATTTCTGGAGCACCGCAGGGCATTATTCTGTATTCCCTGTAATTGCCTCATCATCTTGCTCAAAGAAATAGAGGTGCATCACCCCACACCATATCACAACCCATTGTGAATTCAGTAACCGCTCATGAATTTGCGCGAAGTTTTGCTGATCTACTCTCACGAGTGAGGAAGACTAGACTTGCAAAAAGTCATTTTCAAAACATAATTTTAGCGTAATTCTTATATTAACTTTTTTCAGTAATTGGATACATTAAACTGCAATCTATAATATGAAACAAATATGTTCCTTAAATTTATTGCATTAATTTATCACAAAAAAACTGTCAGGTTTTTCTGTTCTGCATTGTATATACAATGACGAAAACATAGACACTTTTAAAAAAAAAAAAAAAAAAAAAAAATGCTCATATGTACCCAATGTATACTCAAATATAGTATTTTGGAAACCTTATTATCTTAATAAACATGCTTACGTGTGACTGATATTCTATTTTAGTCTAACTAATTTAGTTGCAGTTTTAAATGTGTTTTGTTAAACTAAATTCTGTAGGCTGATAACTCTCTCAAAATAGATGCATAACCTGATTTATATCAAAATTTACTGAAGTAAAGATTATACTGCGACACTTAAAGAAACCCATGGGAATCTAACTCAATCAGCAATTTGTACATCTAGTAGCAACATTTACCTTGGCGTTATCATCTTTACAAGTACAGTTGGTAAAAAATGAGCTTCTGTGAAACTGCTGAAACGTAAATTTTTAAAAGTTTCCTAAAAACATAGTATTAATATACTAAACACTTTTAGACTTAGCATAGATAGTAAAAAGATTGATTTACATTCTGAGCAATCCATTTGTTAAGTTTTTTTAAACTTTTATTTTATGACATTTAAATCTGATGATTCAAATTCTTTTTTATAGAGAGCATATTTATGTTTGCTCTTTCTCGTAGTTTATTCCTCTTAAATGTAGAGCCTGTATGTTTAAGTCTTCGCAACCGGTAGTTTCCCTCCAACTTTGATTGAACATGAGGACAACAATATTTTTCGCCGTTATTTATTTTATGTAACATAGTCTAAATTCTTTCCTTTTAACATCTATTTGTTAGAAATGGGGCGAACATCCTTAAATTACGCATGTTTTGAAAGTTTTCAAAACGCCCTAATATTTAAAGTTCCATGCAGTTACTCAATTCTGAGGACATTATAAATTAATCAGATTTCATACAAACCGAATTATTTTTGTTTTTTGGCAAAATGTTAATGAGTTAGGTTTTAATTTCTAAACCTCGGAGCACTTGCTATTTTAGTTTTAACATAACATAACATTAGTGGCGCTTCCTTCTGATGAAAAGAAGGAAAAGAGCTCAGGCAATGTTGCCCATTGCTCTTCCGCCATTTGATCATTTAAGTCAAAGGTTTTAAATGGTAACTCCCGTGAAAGGTAAATAATAAATAAATAGATAAGATCCCAAATTGACACCAAATATATAGTATCAGCAAAAGATTCTCTAAATTCAGTGTGTCGGTTAAATCGTTAAAACTTCCCAGTTGGATGAAGAGCCGATTCAATCCCTCCCAAACCACCAAAAGCAAACTCTTGACCAAACAAGGGTGCGAGGGTGAGTCTAAAATAAATATTAAAAAAATTAATAAATAAAAATAAATAAATAAATAAAAATTAATTAATTAATTAAGGAGGGCAGAGGTACTTTACATTTTTTTATACATCACCTGGCCCAGATATTCCATTATATTCCAAAACACAGCTATGAGAGCGAAATCCCTGCATAGTTTCTTTTACAAAAAAAAAAAAAAAAAAAACTCACAGGGCGTCTCAATGCTTGTTTCTGGTGGTTTCAAATATTTACCTTACCTGTAGGTATTTAGTATACATCAGAAATCCTATTATCCCAGAGAGCCCTTTGTATAGATGGGCTTGATCAAAGGTAATATAGGGAAACCCAAGGAATTTGTTTCTAAGGACAGAAAACACCAGACATCGTCCCAGGAAGTGAAAATGTGTTTCCTCTTCTTCTCCACAAGCTGGGCAGAGAGGGGATTCGACAAGACCACATTTGTGAAGATGCTTGGCCAGATAAGCATGTCCGGTAACAATTTGAATTACCTGGCGTAAGTTAGTTCTACTGAGTTGTATGAGTTTACCTGATAAGTTAAGTGTACGGCTATTTTAGTTTTACTTACAGCGCAAAACTGTAATAGTAAATAAAGGTTCTTGTACTTCTGATCCACAGTATTCAGTTTATAAATAATATCTGAAATTAACTGCTGATGTATACATTAGAATTTATTTAGATAATGAAAAAATATGAAATTATAATAGCAGTGCTTAAGGACTTAGAATTAATTTAAAAGCATTGAAAAGGGGAATTAGAACTAATTCATTAAATGCATTGTTTTGTTTGAATTCATTATTAAATTTTACTATATATGTATGAAGTTACGTAGAAAAATCACTAAAAATTATTTTCTCTAAATGCCTAGCATTTATTGTTTTCATTCTGTTGAAATATTATTGATAAGGCTAGGTCCGCAATTTTAACGCTTTTGAAATACAGTATTCAGAAGTAATATAAAATAAATGAAAACTGAGTTTTGAATTTTGAGAAACCCTAAAGACTAACAAGAATGATTATTTTAAACAAGTGCATAAAATAACTAAACCTGGAAATCCGAGAGCTTTGTAAAAGTTATTCTCGGAAATGATGTGGGAAAGGATTTAAAATTAGGCTGTATAATTTAGGTAATTTTAATATGGTTGAGCGCGGTATTCATAATCAAGATATTAATTCGAGATAACTTAGAATCAAAGACTAACTAGACTGATTATTTTAAACAAGTACATAGAATAACTAAACCTGGAAATCCGAGAGCTTTGTAAAAGTTATTCTCGGAAGTGATGGGGGAAAGAATTGAAAACTAGGCTGTATAATTTAAGTAGTTTTTAAATGGTTGAGAGCGGTATTTATAATCAAGATATTAATTCAAGATAATTTAGAATCAATTACTTTAACTTTTTTTTATTTTAAAGAACAAGGAATCATAAAAAAAATATGAATGTTAATTCTCAGAGTTTTGGTAATATTTTTAATGTAGTTAACATTTTTGCTTATTAACGAAATATATTTTGTAAGTATCAGACCAATGAATTCCAAATTCTGCATATAGGAGGTATATAATTTTTGATGTAAGTTGAAGAACAGTATTACTAAACAGAAAATCAAATTGAGGTTTTTTTATAGCCCTCAATACCGCAAATAGGTCTTATAGCTTTTATGGAAGTTTATATTACATTTTTAATGCAGCCAAAAATCTAGTTTAAAAGTTTTTGATTTGGATGGAAACTTTTCCCAACTTCATCGGGTAGTTAGAATCCATTATAGAGATGAAAATATGAGTGACTTACCGTAAAGGCGAGTTCCTTGATGTGACTTGGCGGTTTGAGTATGACGGGGGTGCTCAAATAGGAGTGAGTGCCCCCCAATCTTTTTATTGCCCTCAGATGCTGACGACAACGTCGAAGCTGATTGGTCGCGTAGGAAGCTGGAGAGGCGCGAGAGAGACGTTTATGCACGTGAGCGGAATCCAGAGCCATGCAATCTTTAATCATTGTCTATTTTGCAGGGCTTCCACTTTTGGCGATGTAATCGAGACTGCTGGACGATTTGTAAAGGCGTTTAAATGAATTGAGAATTTTTGAGGTGTAGTGCATTTTGACCTTTTACTCACGGATTATGCGTCTTTAAGCTGTGATAAAGCATTTAAAATTTCCCGAGATTTTAATTAAGAAAGGACCTTTACAAATCTGTAATCAGAATTTGCATATTCAAATTGAACACATAACTATTCTGAAAGTTTTTACATAGCTAGTGAATCCACTTCTCCCTCCGAGATTATTATGCCCTCCGAGAGTTACAGATTTAGCCCTGAAATTTTAAAGTTCCCCAAAAGGTCACGAATAAATGGAATTTTCTCTATTAGAATTAAAATTCGACTCTCTCATTTTGTACCTTGATTCCTTTTCTTCCAATATACAACCAACCCGAAATCAGATACATTAAAAGCTGACATACATTTGCATGTGTAATGAATAAGAAAGCCACGCTTCTATACGGAAGTTTACATCCATAACACTGAAAAGGTTAAAATTAATTAGAAATAGGTACACCTTAGAAACAATGGATAGATGATGCAAAGATAACTCGGAAATACGAGTCATTTCGCAACATGGCTTCCTTACTTTTTTTCAATAATCGCTATTCATCAATTTTATATCACGCTGCTAAATTTTGATAACAAACAACAGAGATAACTCGAAAATATGAGTCATTTCGCAACATGGCTTCCTTACTTTTTTTCCATAATCGCTATTCATCAATTTTATATCACGCTGCTAAATTTTAATTGTTCCTTCACAATTATTTACAGATTAACTGTCGCAATGTTTAATAAGAAAAATTGCTTTAAAAAATTAATTAATTCTATAAAAGATTAGTAAATTCAATTTTAAGTTTTCCTTCATTTCGGCAGAAAACAGCTAAATTTTAATTGTTCCTTCACAATTATTTACAGATTAACTGTCGCAATGTTTAATAAGAAAAATTGCTTTAAAAAATTAATTAATTCTATAAAAGATTAGTAAATTCAATTTTAAGTTTTCCTTCATTTCGGCAGAAAACAGCTCAGTGCATTTCCATGGATCGCATCATAGGATGAGATGTTGCGTAATAATGATGAAATAAAATATCTAATACCAACACCAACCTGAAATTTAATAATTACAATGTTAAACTTATAATTTTATATTTATATTGTTAAATTTCAAATTTTAAATATGTCTCTTGTAGCTCTTAATTTATTAGCTGCGAAATTTAATAACCAGATATTAAATCAAGGAAATTTGTGGGGATATTTTAAAATAGGGTAGGACTTAAGAACAGGCAGTTCTTAAGTGTGAGAACAGAAGAACAGAGTGAAACTTTATAATAGAGGAATTTTAATGAAAAAAAACTAATGAATGAATGTAATAAAAATAACATCCAATGAATTAAACTTTAAAAAAATTTAACATGAATTCATACCTATATTTCTCAATCTTTTATTAGAATCATTAGAATCCTGAATATTAGGGAAAAGTACACATTTCTTTAAATTTTTGTTTTGAAAAAACATGAATGTCTTGTCACAGATAGATGCACACAATCCATTAGAATCAATAACCTCCTGGAGATCTCCTCAACGCACGAGTTTAAAAATTATTATTTGGACGTAAGAATAAGCACATTAAACATTTAAGGTTGTGATTACATTAAGGAGACCTTAAGATTATGATGTACATAAACATAATTAATTTCAGTTTGTAAATCAATTTGTTTGTAATTCAGTTTGTTTATCTTATGAGCTACATTGGGAACCTTTACTTGTAGTCAAAGTTTGTTTAAATAATCATTACTTCGAACATTTTGTTTCATTTTAAATCTCAAGGGATTATTCGCTGAAGAGACTAAAATGACTGGGTATAAGCTCTTTTCTTTACAACTCAAAACTCAATTTTATTGTATAAATCTGTGTATTTGATTGAACAAAATGTTCTGCTTTTCCTTTCAACTTTTTAAAAATCAGTATGAAGTTTTGCATGATAGAGGTTTTACAAGAAAATCACAGAACAGATGAAATTTAACTGGTAATTACAATGGGTTAAGAAATGCTTTGACTTCTATTGCTCAAAAAAGAAAAACAGCAAGTGGTCTATCCCTTAAACATTGATGAAAAATATTAGATAACACTAATATTGGTAATTTTTTTCTGGGTTCAGTTTCAAAATTTATTTTAAGGGCCTATATAAAACTTTATGTACTTTTCGTCAGTTTCCCTCATAAAGTGCTCCAAGAAGGCATTCCTTTTAAAATAGATAATACTAGTACCCTTTGTCTATGTAAATAATCTGTCTTAATTTATCTACTTCTTAAATTAATGCTGCTTATTAACATTTGAGACCACATGTGTGCTAGAATAGCCATAAAAGCTACATCAAAGCTTACAGGAAAAGCTAATCAGAGATATCATGTAATGACACAGAGTATAAATATTCTGATATGTCTAGGACACAAATCTTTCCTACATTTTCTGGATTAAAAATTAATATCACTTTATATCATATTTTGGTGTCAGTAAAGTGAATTTTAATTTTCCCTTCTAATCCCTAGTTTCTTCATAGGATACATAGGCACATCTTTTTAGGGTACCAATACATTTGTATAGTAAAGACATCTTAAAACTTCTCAAAATTAAGAATACATTTATCATTGGTAATAATTTTTTAAGAAAAGAGCACATAAAATTAATCTTATGTGTTTTCTACAGAACAATATTTCATTGAGTTTTCCCCCTTAACGCTGTTTTCTTTTTTTTTTTTTTTTTTTTTAATCGTCATCGTTCTTATTGCTATTTTTTTTATTATTATTTTATTTTATTTAAATTGAACTGGTAGTCAGCAGAAATTTTGCATACGAAGATTTCCCAAATAAATTTTAGTTTATGGTAAGTGAAAAATGCAATAAACATTGACGAGTTCCGAGTTATAGCCACCATCTAGTAATAAACAGTATAAGAGATTAAATAAAATTTTAATCATAGTATGCTAATATTACGCAAACCTATTTACTTTCCTCAACGAAACTACATTTTCAGATACTTTTGTAATGGAATATGTGTAAAACATTGCACGCAGATAGATTTAAAATCTCAGTATTATTACCTTACTGGTAGAATATTAGGATGGACTATATCATTTATTTAATGCGAAACAATATTCAAATAAGAACAGGTCATTTAGTAAAAAATAACCTGATATATTTAAAAATTACGACAATGATGTCTGTTTCTATTTATTAACTCAAACTAACTCAACAACACTTTGTTTAGAAACTTGAAAATTGAAATTTCAGGCGTTGAAGCAGTTTAACAATACCAAACTTACAGTTGAATTTAGATATAATGTAGTTCTCGCTTCAGCTAGTTAGAAAAGTTATTAAAATCCTAACTAATTATTTCGCTAGTTTATCTATGTCTTTCACAGCTAATTGTTTTCAATAAAATTAAGATGAAAAAGGGGCCTAATTTAGATAAATATGAGAGACTGATTACATTCTAAGTATGAGGCATAATGATTTCTTTCAAATAATATCTAAATTCCTAAACTAAAATTCACAAACAATTTTAATAGCTTAGAAAATTCATGTCGTGTATTTTCTTTGCTATTAAGTTACGCTTCGCTCATCTGTTTTTCAAAGAGTCGCTTTAACTTCCTTTTCATACAACTTCCTGTAACACTAGCTGCATTAAATGTCACAGAAAAATATAGATCGACGGACAACTCAATTAGATTGAAACATAAATTAATCAATTAAATTCTCTTTTCTTTTTATGTTGGGATATCCCAATGCCTTTTTAATAAATATCGCCACCCTTCCCTGCTCACAGGATTGTCCCCTTATACTGCATTCGCTGCGATAAGAAAAGGACAATGAAGTGGGTGTTTATTAAGTGGCTCTTCCAACAAGTGGGAAAATTCCAGACGCCACCATTACGGAGGGTCGATGCGGCTCGTCCTGACTCTCATTAACTACGACCGCCGGTGTGTGCCCTTTCCCAAATCTTTATTACCCTGATACTGCCAGCTTACGCTTCCCATAACAGAAGTTGGCCGAGAGGAAAAACACTAATCTCGTTAATTTTGAACCTGTTGATTTCATCATTCTTTAATTTTATTTAGGATTCAAAATTTCTGCGTGTTTTTCGTTAGAACATAAAATAAAAAGATTTAAGATAAAATAAAAAGAGTTAAGATAAATGATAAAAAAATAAAAAGGTAAGATAAAATAAATAATTTAATTTTAAATAAGCTCTTAACTCTGTATTTCAATTTAGCTTCCCCCCCTTTTCCAAAAAATAGTAAAATAGTAACTGCTTATAATAAATTGCTTTGAACAGAGTTAGTTCAAAATTGATCCGTGTCATATGAAACTTGCATAACGCTCATGACGCAAAAGCTTCCATAGCGCTTCATCCCATCAGGATTTAAGAAGGAAAATATTAATTTATACAAAATACGAAACTTAAAACTTCTTATACGCTTTCTCCTGTCCCTATACTTAGGAGCATTTCTTCCTCGTTATAAAAAGTCAAACACAAACTGTTTTATTGACTCCCGTAAGACAAAAAGTTACTAAGACATTTGATATTAAAATCGGGAATCGTATTCAGGGGATGTACGCAAATTGAAGAGCAAAATATTTGCATTTGTACGCAACGTAAAGTAAAATATCGTTTGGAAAAAGGTGTCTAATGCTAAAAGATTACGTAGCTAGCATTTCGATGTACAAAAATATTGATCAATATATATTTTTCAAGATGAAGATCTTATTCACCAAATCTAATAGAATTCGATT